GGGGGGGGGGGGGGGTGCCGCCTGCTACGGTTGTCCTTTCCCTTCGCGCTACTGTTCTGCATAGGCACCGACAACTCTTCAGCAAAACAATTTCGTGCTGTGTCAAGGCTTCCACCAGGAGCCACTCTCCTTGCTGCACCCTAGACCCAGCACTGCAGCCCCAGCGCTCCGCTCCGCCGCGACCACACTTCACGCAGCGCCGTTCTGACGTGTGAATCCTCGGGTCGCCGGCTGCGGAAAAGCTCCTAGGCACCGCCCCCCAGCCCCAGGGCTCCTATGATTGGATGCAGTTGAGGCCTGCCGGCCAATGGTGAGGCGGAAGCAGCTTCCCGGAAGTGGCGGCACGATCGGGACCTTCCCGGGCGCCCCTGGCTGGCTTGGTTGGGGAGCTCGTTCGCCCGGGTTGGCTGGCGCTATGAGTTCCTTCCAGGGACAGATGGCCGAGTATCCAACCATCTCCATAGACCGCTTCGACCGGGAGAATCTAAGGGCCCGCGCCTACTTCTTGTCCCACTGCCACAAGGGTGAGTGAGCGCAGCGTGCCGCCCACTCCCTGGAGACCAGGGCAGCGCGGGTTCCGGCCCCGCGGGGAGTGGCCCGGGAGCCTGAGGGGAGGGAAGGCGGGGGTCGGGTCCTGGAGCGAGGAGTGCGGGCTTTGGGAGGCCAGGAGAGAGACTAGCAACAGCACCATGTCCCGGTCTGGCTCTTCAGCCTCTGAGGCTTTGTTTTCTTATCTGTGCAACTGCCGGCTGCTCACTGCACCTGGGCAGTTCGATCGGGCATAACCCTTATGTTCCAGAAGCGCTCTTAGCGGCGAAGAGTCAGAGGTAGGCGAGGGTTACTTCATTTTTCTCCCACTTTCTCGCTACTGTGTTATAAAGGAGAATGTGATGGAATTCTGCCATACTCCCCAAACATTTATTAACAAGCAGGCACACTCACGCTCTGAAATCAAGCATCCTGTCGGTAAACTCGTCAACAGCGAGCCCCCCTCCCCTTTAGATATTTTGTTCACACCCAATAGAAAAGGTTCATTTTAGGTTCGAGGCAGGATATGGTTCACCTTATAAATGGCCAGGTCAGGCAACCAGAACCGTAAGATTTCACAGCTGGAGGCCGGTAGGGATGGAGCCTGAAGCTTCACCCCTAATGATGTGGCATCCAGGCTACATGTTCCAGACAGGCTGGAGGGTCTCTAAAACATTTTAGCCAGAGGTGGCATACCACTACCTTCACAACCATTGTCCGTTTTTACTATCTATTATGCTGATTAATGAGTCACCAACTTCACCAATGAAAACAGTTTTAACATTCACTATGCTAATTAGCACAGCCTTTGGCATTGATGAGAGGTGAAGAGAAACTGAAGCACTCTAGCAGCTGCTCCTAGAGTGTGGGCTTCCAGAGTAGCTTGAATAGGATAGTCTCAACTACTCTTGAAGAGTGAATTAGAGTACAGTGGTACCTCTGTTTTCGAATATACTCTGTTCTGGAAGACTGGTCGAGTTCTGAAACGCTGGAAAACCAAGGGATCAACAGCCGACAGCTAGGCTTCAGGATCTTGCACTCAGCAGAAGCCATATGGCATGTTGGACTTCCAAGGCGTGTTTGAAAACCGAAGCATGTATTTCCGGGTTTACGGCGTTTGAAAACCGAAATGTTCCACAACAGAGACGTTAGAAAACTGAATACCACTGTATAACAAACATGGACATGCATATCACACAGCGTAATTTTAAAGTAAATTACAGATGTCAAGGATTGCCTTTCCTCAGGGGTTGGGGTTGGTGTGAAGACCAACTGTTGTCTTGTGTGTGGAATCAATCACTTTAACCTGGTGTAAATTGTTGACGTTAATTGCTTTGGGGAAATACTCTTCTTGCTCAAAACTCATTGATCTCTTTATAATGAGGAAAATCTGAAACTCAGCTCTCCATTTGCTAAATAGCACTGGGAGCCTCTTTGAGGGTCTTTCTGCTTATTCTTGAGAATTACTCTTTTGGGGTATTGTTTTTCATTGAGAACCTGCTGTTGGATGAGGATGCCCCTGTTTTTACCTTTTGTGTTAAGTTTCACTGGGATTTCTGAATGTGTATGGCAAGGGGCTTGCCTTCATGTTTAGGAGTAATGAATTTGGAGAAAGAATTAATCTAAAGGAATCTGAAATCATCATTAGTTTATAAATTAAGGCAAGAAATTGCTTTTCGAGAAGTTTATAATAACATTTCCTGTTCTCAGATTACATGTGGGTCTGTTTACTCAACTGTGTGTAAACTCATCAAGGGCTAGCACTCAGTTTCTGCTTTTGGTGGTTTCCTATGTTGCCTGCTGGTGATTTTTAACCTTTTTTAGAAACAGACTTTTTTGACTGTTCATATGGACTGAATCGTGTCCCCCCAAGTTCATATGTTGAAGCCCTAACCCCAAGGTGACTATCTTTGGAGATAGGGCATTTAGGAAGTAATAAGGTAAAATGAGGTCTTACGGGTGGGGTCCTGATTTGATAGGATTTGTAAGAAGAGGAAGAGATATCTCTCTTCACACACACACCTAGGAGAAGTCATATTAGCCAGAAAGGTCTTACCAGAATCCAACCTTAGACTTCAGCCTCTAGAACTGTGAGAAATAAATTTCTGTTGTTTAAGCTCCCATTCTATGGTATTCTCTTATGACAGCCCTAGTAGACTAATACATAATATCTAATAATATCTATGGACCCTTTTGTTAGAAAAAAATGCACTTAAACATGTTAATATCACACATTGGTACAATTTGGGGCAGGCCATGGACCCATTTGATGCTAGCTTATGGACCATCTGGAATCCAGTGCTGTGCTTGGAGTTCCGTCAGGCTTTACTAACCATCAGTGAGGCCTGGAGGATGAGTGGGGACCCATGGCCTGAGTTGCCCTGTATTGGGGAGGACCCCTTAAGGGGACAATTTATAATGATTTATTCTGGTCAAGGAAGAAGAAAAAGGCCCTGAAAAGGAGTCTCTGGGTGCACTTCTAGCAGCACAAAACAAACTCACTCAGGCTGTGTTGTCCCCTAGTCAGGAAGGGACCTGGAGAGATGGGTTGGGGGTCTTGGTAAAACAGTTCTGTGTTGCCAGCTGACTTAGTTTCAGAGCAGAGTGCTGGGTCTGCCTCCTTATTGCCATGACACAAACTCTGGAAACCCCAGTTACTGAGATTTCTGTTCTTTGGTGCACCCATAGGCCCTAAGAGCCTGGGCCATGAGTGATCTGAGAAGATTCACCTTCCAAGGGGGGCAAGTGGACTGTCCTGTGGAGGCACCTGTCCAGTGAAGGCCTGCCACATGAGGTGTGGTGACTGCCTTGTTGTTCACTGGAGTCAAGGATCACCACATATAAACTGAGGCACTTGTGTAGTTAGTAAATAGAATAATTAGAATTGGTTTGATTTAACTAAACAATTTAGAAGTGTTTGGTCATTGTTTTCTATGCCTTTGCATGCTCAAGGTTCAGAATGTATTAGAATGCACTCTATATTTAATGTGCTATTTGGTTTAAATGTTACCTGTGTTTAAATATCACCTTTCTGTGTCTTAATTTGGAAGTCTGTGAAACAAGCCTGTGTGGATAGAAATAGCCCACTTTTCAACGCAGCAGTCACAGTAGGTTGTAAAAATAACAAAACTCTTCTTATTCTGGCCTAAGACTGAAGAATTTCCTAGAGGATTCTGTGGAAGCAAGCTGGAATTTCAGTATGGACTAACTTAAGTGGCAAATTGATGGGTCACAGAGAGCAGGACTGAAGGGTGGTTGGATTGAAATGATAGACGGGGGTAAAGGAAACTGCTGGAAGCAGTTCTGAATGAGGCCCCTGGTCACTCATTCTTCTGTGGCTACTCAGAGTGATTATACTCTGCCGTAAGTTTCAGGGGACCATTCTCCTTTAAATGGTTTCTGATGGCTCAGAGGAGGAGATGGTCAACTTTTAATGGTTCCTGTTGTATTTTCAGATGGATTCTTCACCTTCAGAAGAAAGAGCCAATAGCCCATATAAATCAATTATCTTCTAAAAGTGAACCTGCCTTGTATTTTCTCTTAAAAGGAAGTAAAAAGAGCAGATGACTGAGTTTCGTTGGGCTGAGTAAGCCTTTGAAAAGTAATGTGTTTATGATTTTTTTATTCTTTTGTTTTTAGATCACATGAAAGGATTAAGAGCCCCAGCTTTGAAAAGAAGGTTGGAGTGCAGGTAATTTTTTTGCTACTTATTTGTGTATGTGTCTGTCTTTAAATAACCATTTTAATTGAGCTATAACATCTATACAGAAGAATACATACATCATAAGGGTACAGTTTGATAAACTTTTACAAGTGAAGCTTCCACCCAAATCAATAAATAGAACAGAACCAGTATCCCTGTTCCTACTCCCAGTCAGCCCCCCTCTCCCTGAGGTCACCTCTGTTCTGACTTTTGTCATCATGGTTTAGCTTTGGCTTTTTAACTTCATGTAAATAGAATCATACTGAATAGACTTTTCTCTTTCACTTAACATCTTTGTATGATTTATCCATGCTATTTGGTGCAGCAGCAGTCTGTTTTCATTTCTATAAGAGAGAATGTGTGTTTGTGTGTGTCTGTGTGTGTGTGTGTAAGTGGTTGTTCCACTATAGAGAACCATGCAATATTGTTGGATTTTTTTTTTTTTTAAGCTGAACTTTGTATTCTTCTCCTGCAGCCATTACCTAAATCTAAATTCCAAATTCCCAAGATACATATTTGGAAAGGACCCTTTTGAGTTTTTGACTTTTGAACCAACCAGTGGATGTGAGGCTAAGTGCTAATGGATATCAATAGTCTGTGTTCTTGATAATGACCATTGTATTTATTGAGTAATTATATATATGCAATGCACTACATGTTTATTAGTTCAGCAGTTTCTTTGAGTGTTGGTGATGAGTCAGGCACTGTGCTGAATGTTGAGGATATAACAGTGAGCAACCAGATGAAAACCTCTTCTTGGAGCTGACATCCTCATTAGAGCCTTTTGATAACCTTCTGAATAGATATTCCTATTATTTAGATATTATTATCATCATTATTATAGATATTATTTCTATTTTACAGATGAGGAAACTGAGGAACCAGAGAGGTTAAATTAGTTGCCCAAGGTCACACAGCCAGTAGGTGGCAGGACCAGGATTTCAACCAGGTCTGTCTGATTTTAGAGCCTGTGTATTAGTTACCTATTGCTGCGTAACAAATTACCCTAAAACGTAGTGACTTAAACCATCGAATAATGTATTCTCTCTGTGTCTATGGTTTAGGAATTCTGATGGGGCATAGTGGGGATGGCTGGTTTCTGCCTGACTGGGGCATCATATGGGGGCTGACCTTACCTGAAGGCTCATTCTTTCCATGTCTGACATCTGGGCTGAGAAAACTCAAACACCTGGGGCTCCTTGGGCATGCCTATGTCTAAAAAAATCTCTTCAGCATGGTGGTTTCAGGATAGCTGGACTTCTTTTTTTTTTTTTTATTCCTCACCCAAAGACATGTTCATCAGTTTTTAGAGAGAAGGGAAAGAAGAGAGAGGAAAACAAACAAACATCGATGTGAGAGAGAAACATCCATTGGTTGCCTCTCGTATGCACCCCAACTGGGGATCAAACCCTCAACCTAGGTATGTGCCCTGACCAGGAATCCAACTCTACACCTTTTGATGTATGGGAGGATGCTCCAACCAACTGAGCCACACTGGCCAGGGGTGGGATAGCTAGACTTCTTAAATGGAAACTTGAAAAAAAAAAATGTATGTCCCAGGAGAGAGCTAGCAGCCAGCCATGTTGCCCAGAGATCTATCCTTAAAAGTCCTGTAATATTACTTCCATCATGTTGTGTTGATTAAGACAGTCACAAAGTTCTCTCCAGATCAGGGGAGAGATTAATATAGAGACCTCCTGTCAATGGAGGAATTTCCATGTCCATTTTGTAAGAAGACTGTGTATGGATGGAGTGTATATTAGTGTGGCCATCTTTAGAAAATACAGTCTGCCACAGACTATATTCCTAACCTCTAAGTTTTATTGTTGAATTTTTTAAATTTATCACGAAATTGATCTCACTCACTAAAAACAAAACAAACAAAAAAGCAAAACACAGAAGTCTTCTTTCCACGTCCCCCACCCCCCC